TGGTTCGTAACCAATCTTGTGATTGGTTGTTGACAAATGCTGAACAGGCCACGCCTCCAACTGTGCCGTGCGTTCGGGCAAACCGTTAGGAATTCCTAAATGGAGTCAATTTGTGTAGTTTTCTTGATTTATTCTGCAGATATCGGTAAAATGTAGGTAGGGCTTTGGCGAAATTTGAAGAAGCAACTAATATTCTTCAACCTGGTATTTTTTTAGATTTTATTTTTCATTCTTTTTGTCTGTTTTTTCGAGTTTAAAAAATGTGAGCTGGCTGGAGTCTTCATCCCTTGTCTATTTCTTACACTAGATACCAGCCAATACCCCCCCCCCCCCCCTCATAGAGACTGCGCATTACAGTTGATTATAGTTCCTGGGCTCCCTGTGTTTTACCACTAAATTTTGTACCAATATTATGCACATAATATTCTCAAATTGAATTATTCCTTTTGAACCAAAAGGACATAATTTACCATTGCCTTCACGTCTTGATCATATACAATACATACTTTCAGGTGGACAATGGTGTTTGCAAGATGTTAGTACACGAAATAAACACATTCCATAATGTTTTTTTATAAATATTAATTGACGGGTGTGACAATAATATTACATCTTCTATTATGCACTGGTGCAAATTAGGAAATTGTGGTGCCATGGTTTAGGGTAGTGGTCGCAGCACCATGTCGACTTATAAATCGTGTGTAAAAACAATTGTTTGTTTACATGAAATTCCAACACATGCTTTGAGGTACTACTAGAAAATCTGAGATATCATGAAATAAACACATCTGAAAGGAAAATATTCAAATATTTAACCAGTCGACTTTTGACTCTTTGAATGTTAAAGTCAATTTTTATCACTTTCCACAAAATAAACTTATATTTTTTCAATAATGTTGGGCTGATTAGAAATTATGTTTTTATGATTCTGTTGATCAAAAATGAAGAATAAAACTGTAGAAAAATACATAAAAATGAGCAGAATGTTACTTCAAAATTTTGGTGAGAAATATCATGGCTTGCAAAGGATTAAGTGACAGTAAGACATACCTGTGGAAAATGCAGTTATCATAGTAGTGACTGGCTGCTAGAGCCAGAAAATTCTCACATGCTCTCGGAACGAGGTCACAAAATAATTCAATTTTAATATCACCAACATCTGTATGTAATGTGACCGACTGAAATTCAAAATAAATATTTAAAATCAGTAAATGCTGCCACCTAGTGTTGAACTTTAACCCTTGAACTTCAACTTTTGTTTTTTTTCCCCATATTATGTTTCAAAATTTTTGGATCAAATCTGTTTGGTTCATATTTCATAATAAACAAATGAAAACATTTTGGATGGAAAATGATGGCGTCAAAAATATTAAAGTAATAGTAGCCAAGCCAATTAGGGTAGAAACCTACTCATAATTTTTGAGCAAGTTTGTCATAAATAGCATGACAATGTTCATTGGTCTATTACATATGTAAGTAAAGTCATGAAGTTAATGTTCCATGGCATCATGAAATAGCATTCTTATGTATATTATAATTCAAAAAATGCTATTTTTAGAACAGTTCCATGGAGCACAAATTACATTTTTCGCGACTTTTTAAAACCCAGATTTTCAAAATAACAAAACAAAAAGTACGCCACCATTTACAATATATAATTTTTGCAGCGTACATCACCAGTCTACAATTTTAAGATACAACATATTATCTCTGCCATAGGAACCTCTGGTAAAATCGTTATAATACTAATAGTGCCAAATTGGCCACTATCCACTATAATACAACCATCATTTTCTCAAAAATTAAGCTGGTGACCCCCAACTTTTTTTAAGTCAATATTCTTTCATTGCTCGGAAGTACAATTTATTGGAAAATTAATAAATTCTGAGTATTTGATATCATGAGTAGGCTTCTACCTTAATCAATAATTTTGTATTCAAAGCTATTCACTACACATGTAGTAATTTGGTTGCTAAGCAAATTCATACGCATAGCAAAAACGTTAAAATTATATACCATTTACAGCTGCCAAACTTACCATGTTGTCGATACCCCGTACCCTTTAAGTTGCTACAAAAAATAAATGTAAAATATGATATGGCCACCTTAATTTTTAATTAGATACACTCATTACAGCTAAATAAAATAAACTAGTTTAGTTAGAACAGTACACAGTATTTATTATGATGGTTATGTAATATACGTACTTCAAAAGTATGAATTTCCCAATCATTATTCTCAGATAATAAATAACAACAATCCATGATGAACATTTAACGGTTAGGATAGGCGTACCTTATTTTTGTACATGCGCAATGGTGAGAAATCTCAAAATGGCGGTCTCTGCAGAGAATCTAAATTCTGCTTGGCAAATTTTAACTTCGACATTCTCTCGACAGCAACCACAGGTACGTTGTCATGTCAATCGTGGTATATTACGTTAAGTACTGTGTCCGTACAATTAAATTTTACTTCTTGATAGTCTGTTATTGTCAGAACGAGTATTTGTCTGTGTCAGTTTCCGGGTCAGTCTGCTATGGCCAATAGGATAGTCTGTCACTTGAGGGATGAAAATAAAAATAAATCGATCACAACTACCCGGTATTCATTGCTAATTTTTTTCCCTGTTTCCATTTTCGCGATCCAGCTTAAAATGTAAAAATGATCGTTTGTGGCGTTTTGGAATACATGATAACCTTTTTCCTCCGTGACTCTGTCCGAACCTTGTGTATTTTTTTTTATCTCTCGTCCTCTAAGAGGTATTATCATTACAACTTTATTAATACACACATCCAATTCATTTAAAAACAAAAACTAATTATAATTATTAAATATATCCTTTTAATTTGTAGTATTCAAAAAAGATTTAAATTTGTACCCTATTAATTTCCACACAAAAATCATTATTATCAAGCGAAATATGAAAAGAAAGCATCTTGCAAAACTTGATGTGTCATGTTACATCTTCAATGATTCAAACCGAATGTTGAACACATCTTACCAGCAACGATTTCAACAAAACAATGACTTCAATAATTTTTTTTTTGCAACATAATTGTAAACATAAGGCATGTGTCAAGAAAAAAATGTAACCTTACCTCAGTCAGCACAAATTAGAATTAGAAAGCATACTTCTTAGCTTGGATGAAATGGTGGTGAAAGATTGAATGTTTATTGCTACCATATATGGAAGCCATGAGTGACCCGATGCATAAATTCATGTCTGTGATTGCATGATTGCTTGACATAGTCTTAGTAAAAGATTGTCAGATTGATAAAGCTCTCAGTTCCGTAATTTTGTATTTCGGACTCATCTAAATTAATGTAATAGTAAACTTGTAGTACATATTTTTTGAGGAAAACAATTATCACTACCATGAATTAATAGAATTTTAAATGCAAAATGACTCAAATTGTTTTCCTGTTTCCACCCTGGTCAAAAAATATGTCCCATAAATAGTGTGTTCCTATCACCGCATTTTATAGCAATTTATGAAGTACAAATTTTGCAAATTCAATGAAAATTTGGCTTTCGCAAAATAAGAGTAGTTTACAGTATTTCACATATCCGCATGTTGATCATAAAATGTTTTACAAAATTGTTTCTCATACTGTACATGCTACTGATTAGGAAAAAGATTCTATGCTTACTAACACTTTCCAATTTCTACTAAATAATCAGGGTGTAAAATCACCACAAGAAGATATTGAGTCGTCCTTGGCAACATTAAAAAGCC